AGAAAGGAATCGGGGAAGAAAGTATTCATTCCTACCAAAACCTTCGTGAGACATGGCAAAGTGCAAGCGTTGGCTAGCGGCTTGTCCGCGTGAGTTTTTTACGGAGAAAAATATAACAGGAAACACTTAAGTTATATTTGTGCTCTTCACTGGCCCGGCGAAAAAGGTCCAACAGCCGAATTTCCCGATCCACTGAAGGCAAATCTTAGACCAGCGCAAGTAAGTTGAGCACATGCTCCTAAGAGGAAAGCACCGAAAGAAAGAGAAAATTCAGCGTCAAAGAAACAGAAATTATTCAATGACAACTGCACGAACATTAATTACATAAACTACATGAACTGGCATTTAATAGAAACACAACCAGTATTTAGCGCAATATACAAAAATCCGCCGCTCGTATCTTACAAAAGAGGACGATCGCTCAAAGACATACTCGTGAGGGCCAAACTTTGAACAGGCTATTCTAAACACTCGCTGGGGAGTCGTGTAGGCCTGTCAACCCCCTTTTTACATTGTATACATCAGAATTTTCTTGAAGAACTTTGGCAGCAAACCATTTTCCATGATCGATTGCCGGATCAAGGGTGTGATAATTCCCGCATCTCACACAGTCTGTACAAGATCTTCTCGTTTACCGCTTAATTTTAAGCCCCTACATTTTAACCACCGTTTTAGCTCTGGTCTACAGTGTATTCTTCCGGTTCTCTTTCAAATTTGGAGCCAGGAACGCCGTCCTCGTCGGTCAGAACTGTAAGGGAATAAGCGAACTACTCGCCATTTCTCTTGTAGCTCTCAAAGAAGTGGAGTTTGTTTGTCTGAGTCACGCGGGGGGTCTAAAATCTCATGACGTCATTAGTATAAAGCGCTATTGACTTGCCTATTCCAAAATCAAAAGATTCAATCTGGAAAAAAGATGGTGCCTGAAAAATTCAAAGGGAAAAATTTAATATCTAAGAAGGAAAGACAATTATTACCATATCAGGTGTTGAAACTGGTGACAGCGGTAAATATTCCTGTGAAGCGTCCAACAAAGCTGGGAATAGATTCGCTGATGCTTGGATTAAAATAATGGCTGGTAATCTTTTAAATCTCAATGCCTTTTTTCGTCTCCCAGTCATGTTTTTGTTTCACTCTCTTGGGTGCAAGTTACTATCCACTCATGCTTCGATTGTTTATGATCTGATGCCCGGCGAAACAAGAACCGTGCGAAGTTTGTTGCCGCGTATGTTTAATTTCAATCAGTCAAAAACGTTGCCGTCGCAAAAAGGTTCGTTCTGAGATATTTTCGTCTCGAGGCAGAAAACTCAAAGGCTTTTTATCAGATACAAACGGGAGAAAACCCTGTAAACGGCTTTCCAATGCAAATATCTATAAAGCAGCTGAGGCGAAACAAGACATAAGACTGGAAAAAAGAAGAATTTGGCTTGTGCAGGCGAACAAAGACTCTGTTTGCGGCGTCGAAAGTTGATGAATTTTGAATTTGTGCAGTTTTTTAGACTATATATGCGTATAATATTTTGCGGAGTTGGATGGTTACCATAATTGTGCTTGTAGATTCTCCATGACCTAAGGGAGGTTTAACTCCAGTTTGAGATTAAGAGCAACTTCCATTACTGCAAGAAAAATAACTGCAGGCTCACAGCCATGTTTTATCTCTAGATTAAGTGTTTTAAGTACGAGTTAGCTGTATTCTTTGACTATTTTCCTCTTTACACATGCATCTCGCGTGGCCTTACGGCCACGATATAGGCAAATGAAAAGGTCTCTTTGTACATATATCATGGTCCGCCTGATGTTCGATACTGTTTCATCTCAATATCTCGTTATTCATTTCTGCTTTTCTGAACTTGTGTGATCAAAATGGGAGGTTGAAATGGTTTTTCTTGAGCATTGACTAGAGCTGATAACTTATGAATAATCTGAGTTTAACTAGTTTTGCTGGGGACGTCGATAAACCATTGATAACAGTCGCATGACTAAATTGAGTTAAATCCCAAACCTGCATGACTCACAACTAAGAATAAAACAAATTATTTTTCACTAAGGATTTTTAAACTCGAGATACCTCGATAAGTTATATGCAAACTCTACAACATCGCTCCTTACCAAATTAATGAGCCCACCGCAGCTAAATGTTATCTTGAGCCATAGTTAATCGAGGGGAATCCATTCCCCTCGATTAACTATGCTTGAGCATTCAAATTAATGACAACGGAAGGTCGAAATATAGACCGTACGCTTGTCGTATATACCGTATTCTGTTAAATGATCTCAATATATCGTCTATGGTTGTTTCTCACATGCAGTTATTTACAACATTGTGCTTTTTTTAAGTCGATGGTGGCTGGAGCGAGTGGAGCTCATGGAGTATCTGCACCAAGCCAGTTGGTGGTATACAAACAAGGGAAAGAGAATGTACCAATCCAGAACCAGCAAATGGTGAGAAACACTGCAATGGGACCAGAGCACTGCTGAGAAAATGTAGCAACACGTCCAGTTGTCATGAAGGTAACATACAAGAATCTAATTTTGTGATTTCAGCGAAAGGAAAGTCTCTGACAAAAAGAAAAAATTAGTGAATGCACAAATAGATATTAAAATAACAACGAATTAAGGAAAAATTCTGAGGTTGAACTTTAATCACACTGTCATTAAGGCACGTACGTAAAAGCCACAAATTATTTAAAGTAAGGATTTCATTAGAGGTGTCACATCCTTCTTGAATGCATTAAAACTGTACAGCTACAAAATTCACCATGCACTTTTTGAAAGAAAGAAAAAAAACTCGTTCCATGTACATAAAATGTCAAGTTATAGTCTGCTGATAGCTACAGATTATGCTCGTTTTAAAATCTCTTCTCCTCTTCTCTTCAGTATAGCAATTATTACAATGAACATTATGCGGCTCCTATTTTTGTTACAGAACTTTTTCATGCCCGTTGAACTCAACCTCGATGGCATCATCGTTTCTGATCACTTATTAGAAACGAGATTTTCCCAATTTGAAATAACTAGGTGTTTTCTATGGCCTGCAAAGAAACGTCTAAGGACATAAATTCATAATCAGCTTAATCATTTTAATAGGTAAACATCATTATGTCTGTCAATAGAATAAGAAAGAAGGTGAATTTTGAGCTCGGTATAGAAATAGGGAAAGTTGTTGTTCGTCTTGTCACAAGCGTGGGACAAAGAAAAAATTTTAACTCTCCATGAGGAATGAAACCTATGACCTTCAGATTCCGCGCTCCTATGCCACAGCGGTCACTCTGTGGTAAGCAAGGCCTAATATGAAGCCCATGTATAACACGCGTCCTACATACTGCTGGAATGTTTGGTATTATTTTGATTACAATCGGTGTTATTTCCATTGTCAAAACTATTAAAAAAAAAGAAAAAAACAAACAAACTAACTAGATTTCTTCTTTTTTTAGTTTTTTGAAGGATTTCCACTGCATTTTAAAACAGAGAATAACCCATCTGTCGGTAGAATGGAAATCTACACAAACAATAGCAGGCAAAAGCTTTGTACCAGTCAATGGAATGAAGTTGATCTAAATTCAACCTGCATGGCCATAGGCTACTATAATAACGGTGTTTATGTTAATGGCACATGGTATGCAGAAAGACGCAACACCTCCAAGACATCCATCTACCACAACTGCACCATTCCAGCTACATGTGAAAAAAACCTAGCAAAGAAACAGCAATTTTGCAAAGGTAAAAGTGAATTGTACTCATTTTCCAGATCTGGTTCCAAGATAACTTCAAGTGCATTGATTGAGGTAAAATTTCCTGAGAACAATCATAATGAGTTTTCGTCCTCGAGGTTTGTTCAGATACATGAAAGATATCAAAAATTAAAAATTTGAAAAACATGAATGCTTTGCAAAAGGGGATCGCCGACCACATCGCTGCAAGGAGACTAACAATATGCAATGTAAACGTCTTGATCTACACTGGAGAACAAATGACACCTGCAACATCGTAACTATTATTTTCTGAACCAACGAAACTTGTAGCCTGACGGAAAATACAAAATAATACACCGAGAATGATGAAAAATACAGGCAATCACCAAATTGGCACTAACTGAATAATTCACTTCGTGATTTATGGTCATTCGTAATGTTTCATAAATTTGTCATTCCCACAACTAGCTAATTTTATCCTAGTGTATTTAACGTTTTGTAATTTCCTAAGTTCCTATTCGCTTGAATGGTGCAAATGTGGAGTATGGAGGAAGAGTGGAAGTATTTTACAGAGGTGAATGGGCAAAGATCTGCAGGAATGGATGGGATTTTGACGATGTCAAAGTTATTTGTCGTCAACTTGGCTTTGAGGAGGCTTTGGTGGAATTTATTGGTCCAGACGTAAAGGATGAGGGAATTCCTTTTGTAATGTCAAATGTCTCTTGCAAAGGAGGTGAGCCAGAACTTGCATCTTGTGCTCGTATTGATGGAGAGGTTAATATCCCACCTCAATGTTTATCAGATGGCAAGGGTTCACAGGCGTTGTGTCAACCAAGTAAGTAGTTCATTATAAAGCCCGAAAGGTGATTCCGTTCTCTTGTGTTGTCTCTCTTCCACGGTTAGACATTTTAGGGTAAAGGAAAATCAGCTAAGAACTCGGAGCTATAGATGACCAGAAGCTCTTTTCTGAAGGTTTATATTGAAGTACGGCTTGCTAGAAAACATATATTTTTTCGCAGATTTTACACTTAAGATAAAGATCTGACCCGGAATGGGGATGACATGACTTGGTTTGGGGTGACATGACTAAGCTTAATGGTGATTTCACTTGGTCTGAGGTAATATGACTCAAGTGCCTTAAGCTAGGGCTCAAATTACTTTTACGGGGGTTTGAATGGCTGTTTATCGGATTTCATGATTCAGTGAGGGGATACCTAGGTCTTTCAGGGGCCTCACGACTTTTAAAATTTGGATGTAATTATAACATAAATTGACAACGGTTGACATGACTTTGTGTGGAGTAATGTAGCTTAGCGTAATATAATGTACGAAAAATCTACAAATCTGTCAAATTAAGGATTGGTATAGGTAAAAATGTTTATCTTTCCTTTCTCTACATGTGATGCTATTTAAAATGAATTAATTGTTTTCTATAAAATCTTCTAACTGAACCATTTCTTGCAGAGAACCAAAACGTGTTGGACGAAAAAGAACTCTCCTTGTAGCAATGAAGAGCTTCAATGCTCAATATAAAATGAAACCAGTTATACGGGATGGACTATTAATGGTCGAAAGCTTCAAACCGTAAACTCTTCTTATCAAAGAATCAGGACTAAAGAAACTGGTGAACTGGTCATTGACAAGGTGCAGTTGTCTGATGCAGGATTGTACGAATGCTACAGACTGGAACATGTTCAATATTACGTTGTATACGTTAATGGTAAGAGACACATCTTGTCAGCTCACAGAGATACAGGCACAGGCTAAAAATTCAGGATAATGAAGGGTAAGGCTAGCATGATACTGACCTTTTAATAGTACTGCTATGATATTGGGGGTTCTTATCACTTCTTTCGACAGCAAAATTTACTGAGAACACGCTAGGCCAACAAACCTTGATTGCGGGCACATCTGACATTATAAGCTGCAGTGCCGAGGGAGAACCAGGCCCACAGATGTTTTGGAGTAAAAAAAGAGAAAATTCTTTAGGCCAAATACGATTCAATCAAGTATCCGATGGCAGCCTAGAAATTAGCCCCGTAAAGCTTAAAGGCGAAGGGATATACAATTGTACAATGAAACAAACTAAAGGAGCAAAGAGGGTCACAAGCAATGAGAAAAGCATAGCTGTGACAGTTAGAAGTTAGTAACTAATAGGGGTAACGTAAAACAAGTCAGGCAATTACATCTGTTCCTAAAAAATTGATTGTTATCTAACCAACTCAAATTTAAAGCGTTTTCGCTGTCCACATCTGCAGTTATGCGAGGTGAAACCATATCACAATTATATTGTTGATTTTAGTTGTTTGAAAAAGGGTATCGTGTTTAATAATTATAGTTGTAAACTCCGCAGGTTTATCGTTATAACGCAAAGCAGTGCCTTTCCATGAGATTTCTAGTTTCTTTATAAACCGGTCATGTGCTATAAAACGGCTTCGGCTGATCAGCATGGTACGTTCTCTTTCTGTATTAAGTATAATCGTTTGACTGACGATGCAGTTATTTCGGATGTGGATCGCAACTCTTTGACTGCATGCTGCGCGTTAGTGTCACCTGCGCCTGCGAGAATGGCGAAGGAGTTGTTGGTTTTGCCTCCTCGGTTAAGCGAACGAAGGCTTTTGGTTTTAAAAATACTGTATGAAGCTATCGATGTTCTCCTGATCCAAGATGATAAAAGTATCAACTATATAATGCCTCAGATCCTTGATTATTGTTTTTTTGTAGTTCGTGTTTATTTATTTCGTCATTTGGTTTATCATACCTCTTCGTTTGTGTTTTTTGCTAAGTTTGTTTACGCTTTTCTTCCTAAGTTTCACCTTTTTTGCGCGTTTTTCATACCGCAAGTTATTTCGCAGTCCTCTTGTATTTGAAGCCAACTTTTTTTCGCATCATTTCCTTCTTTTACGTCACGCCTTCAGAAAACCCTCCCATATGACTCTGATGATGATGCCGACCCCGTTGTTCTATCACCAAGACACTCCACTGTCCATGCTCCTTCTCTAGAGGTTACTCAGCCTCCCGCCTATGAACAACCCACAGTTTCGCAGCCTGTGTAGGACATTGTCCCTGTTCAGGTCACTGCCCCTGCTCAGGAGCTTCCTCCGGTACCTGCAGCCATTGTTCCGTCAACCTGCTCTCCAGCCCCTTCTCCAGACTGCTCGGCTCCTTCAGACACTCCTCCTGAGTCTGCTGCTGTCGTTTCTCCCAGGAGGTCTTGCCGTCAACGAAGCGCCCCATTTTGGCAAGATCAGGATTGGGACTTAAAGTAGTCTGCTTAACTTTTGGATTCCTCCTACTTACACTGATCCGCGTCATTTCCCCTTGTTGTAGTAATTTTATTTTACTCATCACATTTAGAAGGACAGCTGTAAGGGACCACTGACTGCACCCGTTCTGCATATATCCGTCTAGTTTCAGGTTCGCTTTCATTGTTGTTGTTCTAGTTCAGCTCCTCTACGTTGGTCATTCAGTTTGCATGCTTATTATCTTTACTCCTGTGCCTGTTCGCTAGTGAGAGAGCTAAGAGGCAACCACGCCACTTCGTTATTTAGATTCTACCCTTCGGTTTTTAGTGCTGCGCACACGCGTCAGGACTCCGTCAGTTCCAGGTGCTCGCAACCGATCCAAGTTGTCGTAATTAAACCTTTGACTTTACGCAGCGATTCCTTCTCTATTGCCGCAAAACGTATTCGTGGGCGAAGAAACGCTCGTATTGAAGGGCTCCTAAACGAGGGCTTGCTTTCACCCTAGTCTAAGTTTGGAACTGGGGCTGAGCCTCGTTATATTTTGAGAAGCCTGAAAACGTTCCTGCGATGTTCTTACGTTTACAAACGTTTGAGGATATTTTTGTTTCATTAAATCAATGCGGACGTGACCAAGAAACGCATCAAAGTTACAATTGTTTATTGTAATCTGGTATGTTTAGTTAGTTTTCACACGCTGTGCAACTTCTTATGCCGCGACTTAACCCATGGCAAATTTAGCATAACAAAAGGTAACTAAACAGGTTTACAACGCGAAAACGTAGCAATCTTTCATGTATAAAGGTTCAAAAGAAATGAAACCGTCATTAAAATAATACACAGAAATGATTACTAATTCCTTTGTGTCCTTGTGAAGTTATTCATACCAGTCATTAAAAGAAAAAAATTAATAATACTTAATTAAAGTCACGCGCGATATCGTCGTGGGGATGAATGAGCCAAGCGCTTGAGTGTCTTTGTACAAAATTTGTGCAACATGCCCTGACATTCATTCCGTGTTTTAGATGCTGGGGTCATTTTCCGCGATTCCATGTTTTAGGATTTGGGGTCATTTTCCGCCGTTCCAAGTTTTAGGATTTAGGGTCATTTTCCGCCGTTCCGTGTCTTACGATTTAAGATCATTTTCCACCGTTCCGTGTTTTAGGACTATACTCTATTTGCAAGTGGGGTATACGAGGGAGAGTGGAAAATTTTGAAATCAATTGTTTGCCGAACCGTAAATGCAGAAATGAATTATTTGTAAGCGCAATAAACCGAGATAAATTCTATGCAACCTCCCCCAAATAATTTTTTTGCTGCTGCAAAAAAGAAAATAATAAGTTGTTTACCCGCAAAACAATTTTTTTGTCTTCTCCACTCCCTTCAGAGAGGTAATGTTCTGTCAGGGTACAAGTGAGTATTTTAAATGCTGCACCTGCAACATTAAATTGATTATGTAAGCGTAAGCCCGGCTAAATAAATATAAAGCGTTTAAAAATCTTGTAGACATCGACAGTGTCGAGGCGCGCAAAGCATTATGGATGTAACTTTATGGAAAGTTTGGTTGGAATAAAAGCGGACTTATTTCCGTCAAACTATCGGTAACCGAAAAATGTTCTTGCGTCGTGCGCTTACATCCAATATTACCATAACCAAAACAATGCTGGATGTACATATTTCTGGTCTTGTAGGGCACCAGAAATTCTTCCCTACCATTATAATGGACGATCCATTGTTCACCCCGAATGTTTGGGGGTGGTGGAGGGGGAGCTGAAAACTTTTGAAATAAATTATTCGCACGCGCGATAAACAAAAATGAATTGTTTGCGCATTTTGTGTGGGAGTAGGATCTCGGAAAAAGGCTCTTCCCATGGAGTCAACGCACCAGGTGACAGGTATAAATGCAATGCAGGTTTCATTTTCAGAGAAAGATCAAGTCATACATAGAAGAGGCTCTATTGTATATCAAAGATTTTCAATGCAGGTTT